ATACATATATCTACTTGGATGTCATTTATGGTCTCTTTAGGGTATATTCCCAGTAGTGGAATTGCTGGGTCAACTTTTACATGGTGGGATAGATTGTTTGGAACGGAGAGTCAATACAATGCCTACATTGAGAAGATGAAGACGATGGATAAAAAGACAGAATAAATCTTTCCTGTAAACCTACTTGAAGATACAACTTTTCCTGAATTGAAACTAGTAGCAAACATTGCTTCTGGGAGCAGAAAAAAAGCATTTGTCTTGGCTGCTAAGTGATAAAAAGAACATCAACAACCTTTAATTTGCTTCCTGGTGGGAACTCTATTTTACATACAAGTCCTGTTTGTGTACAAATAAATAAATAAATATATATTTACGTACAGTTTTCACAAGGAGATCTTAAATGCCATTTTGCTAACTTTACAAAAAGGATCTTAAGTATTAGAAAAGGTATTAATCCACCCATCTAGTAATACTATAATTTTGAAGTTTAAACTGGTCCTTAAATCCTTTAAGTATGTAGTGACCATTTCAGAAAACATACTCGTGGCCTTGTTGGCCTTGTGAACTTTAGACAGTTTGTAGAATCTTCCTGAAGATCAAAGTATCTTTAAAAAAAAAGTATCTTAAGCTAAACCACTTCGATTGATGCAGTGACTGAAGCTGCTGAATGGGAAAGAGCTACACTTCCATTCTTGTCTGGAGCTGACAGGTTGGAATGAATGATGATACTCCCCGTTCTGTGAAGAGTGCTATGTGCAGTTGCAGTATACTACTGGTATTCTATAAATCAGAGCTTTTATCACAGTTACTTGATTTTGAGGGGGAAAATGGAGAAGCTTTATTTCTGGTATTTACACTTTGATATTGGTATGTCAAGTTTTCAGTATACTTAAATCCGTATCTTGAAACTATCTGGCTCATATGCTGTATTTGCACTTTGTTTTGACCTACTGAAATAAATGTGATTTTTTCCTTATCTCATCAGGTTTCCAGTTCTGAACCTCATCTGTTATCTTTCCTTTTGTTGTAGAAAACTCATTCAGCAAGTTTGTAATAAAAAGAATTTTTCTACTTTCATTTGTTAAAAAAAATAAAATTGAGTCCCTCCCCCCACCATTTATTTAGGTCATTTATTGCCCCCCCCCATTTTGTACTGGTTTATTTGCAAAGTTAAAATACATTGTTTTTCACACCTGCTCTATACCATTTCCTTCACACCTCATCAAATTGTGAAACCTTATGATTACTCCCCCCATTCTCAACCCTCTGAATTCACTGCATCTCCCATCCTCACACTCATTCTACAACAATGGTTTTATGCAGTATTTGTCCTTACAGGACTAATTTGGTTCACTAAACATAATGCTTTCCGGTCCCGCCCAAGTTAGGTAGTAGTTCACAAAATCAATGCTTCCGCATGTTACACTGTGTGAATATACCATAATTTCTCAATCCATTCCATTGTGCTTGGACATCTGAGATATTTTCATGTTGTTGCCATGGTGAATAATGCTGCTATGAACATTGGTGTACAAACCTCCATTTGTGCCTCAATTCTCATTTTCTTGGTGTTTATTCCAATGAAAGTGGGTTAGCTGGGTCATATGGAATTATTATGTTCTTCTTTTTAAGGAAATACCGAACTATCTTTTAAAGTGGTTGTATCATTTTACAGTCCCACCAACAACAACATGTAAGAGTTCCACATATCCCTACAATCAAGAGAAGCTAAAATAGATGAATGGGATCTTCTAAGAATCAAATAACTATGTACATCCAAAAACCTCTCCAACAGTATAAAAAGAGAAATCACAGACTGTGAAAAAGTATTTGGTAATGACATATCAGATAAGGGGCTTATATCCAGACTTTATAAAATACTTGAGCACTACAACATGATAAAGGTAAATAATCCAATAGAAAAATGGGCACAGGTTATGTAGACACTTCATCAAAGAAGACATTCAGATGGCTAACAAGCACATGAAGAAATGTTCAAAATCTCTAGCTCTAAGAGATGTGAAAATTAAAACAACTATGAGATATCACCTCACCCCAATAAGAACAGCAAAATTTAACAGAACAGCAAACAACAAATGCTGGCAAGGTTGTGGAGAAACTGTAACACTTATTCACTGTTGGTGGGAGTGTAAAATGGTACAACCACTGTGGAAGTCAGTATGGCGCTTTCTCAAAAACTTGCAAATAGAGATACCATTTGGCCCAGCAATTCCACTAATGGGAATATACCCCAAAGAGACCATAACTGACATCCACGCAGATATATGCACACCCATGTTTATTGTAGGCTTTGTTCACAATAGCAAGGAGTTGTAAACAACCTAAGTGTCCATCAACAAATTAATGTATAGAGAAGCTGTGGTATATTCACACAATGGAATACTATGCTGCATTGAAAAACAAGGAACTCATGCAATACTATTCAAAATGGTTGACTCTGGAGGACATTATGCTGAGCGAAGTATCTCAGTCACAAAGGACAAATACTGCATGGTGCCACTATTGTAAAATAGGACTGACTTTGGGATTGCAGGGAGACTGAGAAAGATGGGTTCAATAATGTATACTGCACTGAAACACATGAGGGAGAAAACTGTTTAAAAGGGATATGTGATTAGATATTTCTGTCATGACAGGTGTCTAGAGTAAAGGCTACATGGTGGAGTAGACCTGGGGGAGGGTTTGTAAAACAATGAAAGAATTTTTATTTTACTTTTACAAGAGGGTAGTGTATTTGGTGGGTAGGGTTTGCAGGGGAGAAAAGTCCAACAATGAATGAATGGAAATCCAAAGTCTCTGTAAATTTTGACTGAAATGAATAATAAATTAAAACAAACAAACAAACAAACAAACAAACAAACCAAAAAACCACATACCTAAACATTCAGCATGGAATTACAAAAAACAATAACAGAAAAAGAGTTCACATATCACACCATACATAAAAATACCTAGGAGTAATGTCCCAAACCATAAAGTTCATAAGAGATAAACTAGGACTAAGCTTATAAGGCCTAGTCTATGGTATAAAGAGACTGCCAAATATAGCCAGAAATGCACAATCAGAAGAAGACAAAAGTGATGAAGGGGACCTTCTAAAAATTAAATCTGAAGATTAAATGTGCTTATCAAAAACTTTTCCCAACAGAATAAAAAGAAAACCTACTGACTGGGAACAAACATGTGGAAATACCATATCAGACAAAAGTTTTTTAATGAAAATTTACAGGATACTCCCAGGTCTATCAAAGAAAAAGACTGATAACCCAATTACAAAAGACTTTGGAAGAATTTTCACAGAGGAAGATATTCAAATGGCAAACAGACACATAAAAAATGCTCACAATCACTGGTAATAAAAGAGATGCAAATCAAAACCACAATGAGGTACCATCTCACTTCACCAGCAGGGTCACTGTTTCATAGGATAGCAAGCAATAAGTTTTGCAGAGGATGTGGCAATATAGGAATAAATGGTTTTATTAAGCTTCCTTTTTTTATATTTCATTATTCTGTTGATGGTGGCATAGTGCACTGCCAGCCCAAAGTCATGTGGTTCGAATCCACCAGCTCCACAATGGGAGAAAGTTGGCTAATCTCCTACTGTGTGATTTAACTACCTCTGAAAATCTACTAGAAGGTCAATTGTGGGGTAGTTTCATCTTGATGGTACATAGCAACAACTGCAACATTAATAGTCAAATCACACATAAAAACTGTCACTCTGTAATTGAGGAAGTAGAAATCTCTTCATGGAGAGACAGAAAAATTACCAATTTCTTCAGCCTATCACATCACATGAAGGTTAGAGGATTCCAAGAATTGAGACCCAAGTTGCAAATACAATCTGATTTATCTGAAATATCCTGAGTTAGTCACTTGTTTCTGTTAGGTGCTCCCAAGTCTACAAGTCATAGAAATCCCTATCCTGCTGCACCTTCAGGATCTCCAGTTTCAAGACCATTGTAATAGTTACTGTGTCAGTCAATGTTTATATAGCAATACATGCCTTGATATCAAATATTTATTAACATTCAATTATAAAGAAGCTAAAAGATTTGAATAGACATTTTATCAAGAGGACATTAAAGTGACCACAAAACATGTGAAAATATGTTCTACATCATCAGTTATCCAAGAGATTAAAATCCAAACCACAGTAAGATATTATTTCATTCCCACTAGGATTGATAAATGAACTTTGTCATAGAGAGTTTGCTGCTAAACCAAAGGTGGTGTCTCTCTGGTAGTTCAAATCTATCAGTGGCTTCAATAGAGAAATATGTCTACTGGAGGATCAGCTGTAAGTCAATTGTGAGAGAGAGAGAATTGCTAAGAATACATACAAATCAAAACATTAGGATATAGCAAATTTTGGGGAAAATAAGAACCTTTTCTATGGCTGGTGGGGATGTAAAAATATACAACATTTTGAAAAACATAATGTGATAGTTCCTCTAAACACAGAAAATGAAATGACCACATGATCCAGCAATTGCTTTTCTAGATATATACCTAAAAATCTTGAAAGTTCTGTTAGCAATAGACAAATGTTAAAAACCAATGTATCTATGAACAGATGAATGAACAAATAAGATGTGATAAAGACACACAAAGCCTGCTATTTTTTTCTGGTCAAGCTGGGACTCTATGGCAATATATGAGCATTGGAGGGATCCTCCTGAGAACTAAGTAGAGTGAAAATTCAGTTATGTTTTAGTAACATTTTTTATTTTGCTGGGAGAATAAGCCAAATATGATATAAAATTTAAAATTAAATTTTTGTAACATTTTCCTTACAGAATTTTGGAATATAATAGACCATTTTTGTATCCATTTAAGTACTTCAGGTTGACATTCATTGTTTTCTGATTCATTGTTTCTTATTTGGTAATCAGTTTTTCATGTTTTTAGGGAAAAATCTGTGGACAATCTCACAATGAAGTGTTAATATATGTACTTTCCGAGGTAATTGGCTTTATTATTTAATTGATATGACACAACCCTGCTCGCTGAAAATGAGGAGGACCTCATGTACTTACTGCAGAGGGTAAAGGACTGCAGCCTTCAGTATGGACTGAGGCTCAATGTCAAGAAAAAAATTCTCACTACTGGACCAAACAGTAGCATCAGAATGGCTGGTG